TTCCATTGCATCAGTTCTACTCCTTTGCCCTTTCAATGTGTTACCTATTTCTCACAATTTAGTATTAATCTTCTGGATTTCTCTCTGTAGATTTAGAATCATTTCTAATTTTTCATTTATTTTGTCATTTCTTCTTGTATTTTCTTCAAGAATTCTTTTAGAGTTTTGTCTGTGTTTTCCTTGGTCTGTCTCTCAATCCTTTGAAGATACCTAAATAAAATTATTTTGAATTATTTATCAGGGAGTTCCAGTGCTGTGTCTTCCTCAGGGATGTGTTTTGGGTCTGTATCCTGGTCCCTTGTTTCTCCTGCTTTATCTTGCTTCTTTGTGTGGACTGTGATGCTCTGTTGTCTCCGAGGCATTGTGACGTTTTTGTGTTTATATTTAATTGGTGATTATATGTTGGAGTGACTAGCCCGCAATTTTTGTTTTCCTTGTTTTGTTTGTACGTTATCTGTACAGGCAGGGTACTGTGCTGTGCTCCTCTATTCACTGGTTGACAGCACTTATACACCCACCACCTGTCTCCTTTCCTTTGTCAGCCTCTCGTATGTCCTTTCCAACCCTGGCAAACAGAGCCTATTCTTAAGTCCCTGGAATCTGAATGAGAATGCTATCACTTTAAAATCCAAAATGGTAGCCACTTGTAAACATTCAAAATGGCTGCACCCTCTGGACAGCAGAAAGTCCACAGCTCAGGTTGTCTCCCTCCTTGCTGTTTCTCTTCCTGGTCATAGGCCACCAGAGCAGTTGTCCCTGCAGCCATTGGTGACTAGAACTGATCTTTGGGTCAATTCTCAGGTCCCAACACCACTTGGAAATATTCAGACTGTTGGTCTTGTCAGAATAGCTGACAGTCCGCAGCTCTGACGGTCTCTGTACTCACTGTTTTCATTCAGGTTTTTCCACTAATTAGTGCCTAATCCACTTCTGTATAGTTCCTTTAAAAGCTCAGGGTTCCAGGATTGTCTTCTGTATCTCTGTCAATTGGTTTTTTAAAGAAAATTGTTGTCTCATTGATATGTATACCTATGTGATGTTACTGAGGTCTTGATAAGAGCTTTGAAAATTTAGGTGCTTTTATTTTACATACTTGTGTTTTCATTGCAAGTTAAAATTACTGTTCTTAAGTTTAATGCTTGCTTATATTTGGCAATTCCAAGAAATAATCATTTAATTCTGTACGTAAGTATATGAATACTTCCTTTGGGTAAATATTTTTCTTCAACATTCAGAAAATTTTCCTTGAGAGAAATAATTGTTGTAAAAATTACATAGCTTTAGATTATATTTAAAGTGATGTCATAGGCCTTAAAAGTTAGAAAACATTATTTAAATGATGTTTTTGTCCCTGTTTTGCACAGTCTTTGAAGTAAGCTTCATTCTGATACATCTAGTTAGCTTTTGAAGTATATGTGCCTTTAAACATCCTCTTGAAATGTAAAATCGTTACTGTGTACTTCTCATCAATGAAACATTATAATGTTTTCCCCTATTATAATAACAGGACAAGATTTGACTTTTTGTGTTTTGGCACTTGTCCTGAAAGAATATTGTTCCTACTGAAGATATTACAACTGTTGGTGGAAAATAACTTGCATGAGCTCTTAGGGAAATTTGGAACCTTGATGTACAAAAACGTTTCCTACTTATTCTGACCTATTTCAGATTAGGAATCTCCATTACCTAAAACTGTTTGAAAAGCTTTTAAAATCTTACTTTATTTTAAATGCTGATTTAGCATTTTAGATAATTTTTGAGCTTTATAACCAATTGTTTTGCTATTCCTGTAGCTTCTCTAAAGGGGTAAACAAATCAAATCTGTATTTCAACAGCATTTTAAATAAAGAATTTAAAATTGTTATCTGTAAAATACATACCCACTTGTGATTCTGATGTTAACATAGAGGTTTAGAATAGCCTTTCTCAATTTTCTTAGGTTGTACTGGTCTAATGTATTTTTCAAACAGTAATGTGCATCAGAATCATTTAAAGCACCTGGTAAAACACCCCTTGTGTTACTGATTTAGTAATTCTGGGGTTAGAGCTTAGGATGTTGCATTTCTCTTAAGTTCTCAGCTGATGCTAATGCTCCTGTTTGGAACCCCATACTTTTTGAGATCTTTTGCCTTAAGAAATCCATTGTGGATGATAAATGAACTCTTCTCCTAACCATCTCAAAAAAAAAAAAAAAAAGCAGTTGCCATCAAGTCATCTTTGACTCATGACAGTCCTATGTATGTGACAGTAGAATTGTTTGCCATAGGGTTTTCAGTGCCTGATATCTTGCAAGTGGAATGCTAGACCTTTGTTCTCTGATGCCTTTGCATGGAGTCATAGCTCCAACCGTTTGGTTAGCAGCTATGTGCGTTAACATTTGCACCATTCAGAAACTCCTTGCCTAAGCATCTGGGATGGTACTAATTACGTACTATCCTTGGGAAAATTGAGAAAATTGTCAATAAGTCTCTGTATTCTGTGATTCAAATGGTAACCCAGGTGAAAAAGTATGGTTTAGAATGATCATTTGTGTGATAAAAATGAGCATAGTGTTTAATAATGTTCAGCATGTTAAGTATCTCAGTATTTACAAATTATCAGTTGTAGAACAGTTTTTTAACAGAAATGCCAAGAATTATTCTTCTGTGGGTAGATAGTCATTTTCTAGATTAATGTTTGTTTCCTACATATATTTAGAAGTATGAATTAAAGATGTATTAAAAGCAGAAAACTTGGTGTATTCAGAATGTTATGGAATGGTTTCAGGTGTTCTTGAAAGTAAAATTTGCTGATTGTATCTTATTTTTAGAGTGCCATTGGAAGAAAGTTCCACAGGCTGTTGATACTAATGGTTTATCACTTTATTTTTACTTTATATCTGCAGAAATAGGTAGAAAGGAAGTTAGTGGGTAAAGCTGAAAAGAAAGATATTGGTCCCAATAATAATAATAATAATAATAATAATAATAAAGCAAAGCCTGTTAGGTGGTTTGAATTGTTGTGTGAAACAGAAAGGCTCATGTAAAGAAGAGAAACATACAGTAGGTCTATATGTAGTTATAAATTTCCATAACAACAAGAACTATATGATGAAGACAAAATCTAAATTACTTTTAGTTCCAGTCATTATTATTATTTTTTACAGCTTTACTATTCAGAAATAGTGCAGTTGCTTTTGCCACGCAGAGCTTGCTTAACAGAGATACTTTCCTGTTTTGAATTTTAGGGCGGCAGCAATGACTCTTCGTACGGTATTACTGTCATTGCAAGCACTCTTGGCAGCTGCGGAGCCAGATGATCCACAAGATGCAGTAGTAGCAAATCAGGTAAGATGACTGCTTTTGAAAGACTTTCTTTAAACTTACCTTAGTCTTTTTGCATTAGTGTTTTGCAATATTAACCCATCACCATAGTCTATTGAAACTAAATTTGGAAATGGTTTCCCTTTCTTTTAATAAGATATTTTGTCAGATGTTACAGTGAAAACTTTGTTGATTTTTAACATACTAATTTATAGTTGGTTGAATGGTAGATGATTTTTTTTCTAACATGAAAAATTTCAAGCATACAGAAAAGTTGAAAGAATTACACTTGTGTGTTCATCCCTCCATTCCATTCAATGATGAGTCTCTGTGGTTGATAACTCCTGATTAGCTCTACTGTGGCACTGAATTGACATGGTAATCAGTGACCTTGTAATTGTAAAATTTAATAAATATTTTTCAGTTCTGATCTTACTTGGTTTCTCTAAGGCAGAAGTCATCAAACTATATACAGTCTCCTGTTTTTATAAATAATATTTTTTTGGAATACAGCCACACACTTGTTTACTGTTTTCCAGCTACAGTGGCAGAGTTGAGTAGTTGCAACAGAAACAGTATGGCCTAAAATACTTGTTAATCAGGCCCTTTAAAAACAATTTGCCAAGTCATGCTCTAAGGCATTAGAATTTGCTGAGCATTCTTTTTTTTTTTACCCCTAGAAATTTTTTCCTCCTTTGACCTCTGAAACACTGTCTTCTTACTGCTTACAATTATTTGTCATCTTTCTCCTGCCCTTTAAGCATACTTCCTTGGTTCTGACAGTGTTCCCTTTTCTTTCCATTATGTACTCTCACTTGAATGAACATATCCCCAATGATGTTATCATCCAAACATGGATAAAATGCACAGGCTTGACCTTTCCTCTGAGTACAAGACCCTGTTTGCAGCTGGATAGCTCTATCTGAGTGCTCCATGGATACCTGAGCACAGCACTGCCAAAACTGAATGTAGAATCTTAAAACCTGCAAACCTGTCTATCTTTCCGTTATGTACTTAGCTAAATAATCCAAATCACAGACTTTGGATTCTTCCCTGTGCCTCCTTTTCCTTTGTTGATTCCATTCCCTTCTGTCTGTAGCCATTTTTACATACTTCCTCTGATTGCCTTATTTCAAATACTTTATATTTCTCGTTTCACCTGTTCCAACAGATCTCCCTTCCTCAGCTTCTTCCTTCCCTCCTCCATCTTCTACATCATCCTTTAGCTTTGTTGTTGTTAGCCGTTGAGTCAGCAGTAGAATGAAACACTGCCCAGTCCTGTACCAGCTTCACCTCGCTATACTTGAGCCCATCATTGCTGCCACAGTGTCAGTCCATCTCACTGAGGGCCTTCCACTTTTTCACTGACCTTCCACTTTACCAAGCATAATAGCCTTCTCTTCTCCAGGGAATGGTCTCTTCTGACAACGTGACCAGAGTAGGTCAGATGAAGTCTGGGCATTCTTGCTTCCAAGGAGCATTCTGGCTGCACTTCTTCCAGGACAGATTTGTTAGTTCTTCTAGCAGGACATGGTACCTTCAGTATTCTTTGCCAAAATATAAAGTACTTTAGCTTTATAAAGTATGAGTTTTATTTTCCTTTATTATAGAACCTTTTATACCTTCACTGTCACCAACTTAAGTGAGTCTTAAGTTCTTTAGTTTGAAGAGTTCCTACATAAGTTGAACTGTCTCAAACTGTCATCTACAAAATTTTTTAGTATTTTGTTTTAGGTGAAAGTTAACACAGCAAATTAGGTTCCCCTTTAACAACTCTTTATTTAAATTGTTCTGTGCCATTGGTTAAAAGTTTTTAAATATATCAGAATTCTCATTTTTTTCCATTCCGCTTGTTCTGTTTCCATTGATCTTACTTCCCTTCCTTGTCATCCCATCTTTGCTTTTTGGTAACTGTTGATCCTTTGGTCTTGTATAATTAATTGTTTAAGGGAGCATATTACTCATGGGTGATACTGTTTCTTTTATAAGCCAGTAAATTTATTTGGCTGAAAGGTGACCCACAGAAATAGCTTTAATTCCAAATTCAAAGGATGTCATAGGGCATTAGTCTTAGGGATTCCTCTGGTCCTTACAGGTCCAATAGGTCTGGTTTTTAGGGATTTTAGTTTCAGTCTACATTTTCTCCCATCCTATCCAAGGCCTTCTTTGTGTCCCTGGTCACAACGGTTGGTAGTGGTAGCCAGGCACTACCTAGTTAGTTCTTCTAATCTTAGGTTAGAAGTTTCGGGTTTGGTTTGAGTGGGCTGTTAGTCCTATGAATTAGTTTCTTCTTTGAGCCTTTGATTTCTTTCATTGTCTTTTGCTCCATGTGACTAGGGATCAATAGTTGTATCTTAGATGGCCTCCCACAAGCTTTTAAGACCCTAAATGCTGCTCACCAAACTAGGATGTAGAATATTACCTTTGTGAATTATGTTACACCAGTTGATAAAGTTGTCCCCTGAGATTATGGATCATATAGATGGTTTTTAAAGGAGCTCGTTACTCACAGGTGATACTCTTTATTTTATGAGCCAATCTGTTACTTAGGTAAATGGGGACCTCAAGGGATAATTTTGGTTTAAGGTTCACAGAGTACTCAGAGTGTGATAGTCTTGGTAGTCCTCTAGTCTGAATTAGTCCAGTAAGTCTAGACTTCTCAATGAGAATTTGAGTTTTGTTCCACATTTTTCTCCCCTTCTAACAGGATTCACCTGTTGTGGCCCTAATAAAAATGATTGGTAGTGGTCACCATCTAGTTCTGATCTCAGTGTAGATGAGGCCATTGGTTTATGTAGAATGTTGCTTCTGTATACTTCTTTATTCTCTGAGTCTTTAAACATTTATTTTCAATTTATACTTTGCTTTACTAACTGTTCTGGTTACCTAGTGCTGCTCTGACAAGAATGTACCACAAATGGGATCACCTTAACAAACAGGAGTTTATTCTCTTACACTTTGGAGGCTTTAAGTCCAAGTTCAAAGTGCCTGGCTCTAGGGCTAGGTGAAAGCCCCTCAACCTTGGGTTGCAGCTCTGCCTCCTCTTCCCGGCCCACTGGAGCTAGAGGCGTTTCTTCATTCATATAGCTGCTGGCTGCTGAGGCTGAGAAGCCCAAGGTTGACAAATAAAAAACACAGTCCTGATGTTACCAGACCACACGGCAGGCCATTAATTCAAGTTCATTGTAAGTCCCAAGATTGGCAGAGCATGGCAGGCTGCTGAACAACGACACAGCTACCTGCGGGGTCAAAGTGTGCCATATGCTAGAGACCATTCCTGTATACGGAAAGCAGACTACATACCCAAAGCAGCTACTCAGCAGCTGCTTGTGGTAGATCCCACCATGGAGTTGATTGCCAGTCTGATCATGGGGAATAACTACCACCAGCTGCCCAGCCACTCAACCAGGCCCAGCCAAGCTGACACACAAACTGAACTATCCACTAACTAATGATGGTCTCTATGTATGTGAGAATAAATTGACATTTTTTCAATATATATGGGAAGTCTTAACCTTTTAAAAGTAATCTTTGTTGTGTGGTTCTTATTAGTTGCCAGTCAACTTGGTTCTGACAGAGACTTCATATAATTAAAAAGTACTCTATAGTGAGCTAATCAAATCACGTTTTATAAGTTAGGATTTTGCGTATGTGGTTTCTTTAAATCACTGCCCAGTAGTACAGATCTAGCAAAAATCTAGCTGTTTTCTAGCCTGGCCTGTGCTTAATACAAAAATTGGTCACATTTAATGTCCACGTTAATTTGAGGAGCTAGTAATTCAGTGTTTAGTTGGATAATGTTTGCAGCTACACAGTTTTTAGAAACCTCTCTACTGCCTCACTTCAGTAGCTTTAATTTTTCTGCTGCTGATAATTGTTGAAATTGGAGATTAGAGTTGATAAATGTTACTTATCTTTGTTTTTTCTTCAATTGACATATGAATCAAAGTTTTAGGTTAAATAGGCTTTCCATGAGTGACTTAGCTTGTTTGCAAGGGATATTTTAGGTGTACATTAGTTTTATTTAGGGAAAAATGCAGGCTTGAGTAACTAAGAGCTGAACTACCAATTTTGAACATTATAACTGTATTGTCATGTGAATCAATTTTTTTTCCCCCTGTATAGTACAAACAAAATCCTGAAATGTTCAAACAGACAGCTCGACTTTGGGCACATGTATATGCTGGAGCACCAGTTTCTAGTCCAGAATACACCAAAAAAATAGAAAATCTATGTGCTATGGGCTTTGATAGGGTAAGTACGTAAGGGCATATTGATTTTGATAATACTGATTGCTTTTAAGTTAAAGTATTTCAGAAAATAAGAGGCATATCTAAATCTAGTTTTGATAAACAAATTTCTTAATAAAATGAGTGATTGTTGATAACTTTTCTTTTTCCTTTTGTTGATTCTAAACATTGCTTTTTAGAAGCTCTTTGTGCATTGTAAATGCATCACAACTTATGTAAAAGAAAAATAATTTCTCAGTATAGAGACAATATTTTGGAAATGTTTCTTTGAAATTTTATTTTTTTGTCCCTGTTTCTTCTCTACAGAATGCAGTAATAGTGGCCTTGTCTTCAAAATCATGGGATGTAGAGACTGCAACAGAATTGCTTCTGAGTAACTGAGGTGTAGAATGAGAGCTGCTGATATAGTCAAGCTTGCCCCTTCTTGAGGAGCATCAACATCTGTTATTTTTAGAATTCTGCATAGATTTCTTTTAAACTGGCATTCTTGCCTAATGATGTTATCTAGGCACCATTGGAGACTGAGAAAAGCAAAACAAAACAAAAAAAAACCCTGCTCTGTAAATAAAGCTAATTAAATGTCTGTGTAAATTTAAAAAGGGGAAATACTTTAATTTTTTTCTTACTTGATAGTGTAAAAATTCTTTGAGCTAAGCTAAAACCATGGAAAAAAACATGCTACTTTAGCGTTTAGCAGTGTACCAAGACTAGCAAGAGTTTGCTTCAGGATTTTGTTGAATAATTAAGATACTATTTTGAGTGTGTCAGGGCCATTCAAATTGTTGGTGTTGCATCACAGCTACCTTAACTGTTTTTAACATGGATCCTTTGTGCCTGTGAATTTACTTGCATGCTTGTACTTGACTTCTTAGGATGGGTAGCTGAAAAGACCACCATTTTAAGCATTTGAGAATTCTTAATATAAGGTTTATCCAGAATTGAAGATGGTGACCTTATTCAGAGCCTTTTTGTCCTTGTCAAAAGACTGGGACATCATACTTGGTTTTTTTCCCCTTCTACTACACACAGCTGATACTCTGTACTTGGTATGGAAGTGTGGTGGGGGCAGTATCCCTTGCTCCGTTTTTAGGTCATAGGCTTGGAATGTTTTGCCACAGTTCTTAAAACACTCTTAAAGCTTTCCTATGTAAGTAATAATGTGAAAATGGAGCTGCCAATTTTATTTTCTTGCAAAAAACAGTAAATACTTGATGTTGCAGTATTCCCAGATTTAATGAAAGAATCCAATTGAGTTTTGCAGTGAATTTGACATCTTTCTATTTTTAAAACTGTCTTGGTAGATGAAATTTTTCTTTGAGAACTTGCAAGGATGCAATCAACTTTTTGCAGTAGTTTTTTAGCCTGATTTTGGGCTTTATAGAGATTGCTTTATTGGGTACTTTAAAAGTCACTTCTTGCTTGCATTTTCCCCATAGTAACACATGAAAGCTGTGTTGGTGTTTTACTGTACATACTTCAAATGCACATAGGAATAGAAGTGTGTTACAAATTTAACTTTTCTTTATGATGTTTCTGGTAATATGAGAATTGAAAACTTTACCTTCTCTTGTACATAGTCAGACTTTCTATTTGTATTATCTAAGTTCAAAAGTTTGAAAATTATTAGTTTGACAAACTCAAACACTAATGTGACCATTTTATGAAGGTTGAAGTGACTTATACAGGCAGTCCTATACATAGAAGCACAGTTCTTATTAAATTTTCAGGACCAATGCAAAATAACAAAATTGTAATGAAATCAGACTAATTTAAAGTAAGGCTGTACATAGAAAGTCATAAAAGGTTTGTTCTTAAAGTGTTATTTATCCTAAATTATAATGGTTAAAGTGTTTGGAAAGTAATTTTTTAAACCATAAATTCAGCAAAATTTCATTTGACTTCTCAATAATCTTAATACTAGAAGCAATAAAAAAATATATATTAAATATATTGTAATGTTAAGGATGTGAAGGTTCTTCCAAAACTTAAAAAGACTTTCATGATCAACAGTAAACTCTTGAGATTGGTATTATTGCATAATAAACACAAGTTGCTATGTTCCCCCCCCATATGTTCACTGAAGCATAATTTTCTTTATACAGTCATCTCCTCTTACTTGTAGTTTAGTTATTTTCTAAAAATGCCAAAGGAAACAAGGATTTTCTATATTTATTTTAAGCAGTTAAAACCTTACACTTTATATTTTTAAGTTAGATGGGAATGTGTGAAAATGTGGACAGTTTTTCTCTATTGTTGGTCAGAATTTTTTTAGTGGAAGGTGGCTTGGTAATACTTATAAGTAATATTGGGGTTTTTTAAATGTTGAATACATCTACATAGTTTACTGTTTGCCTCTGTTTCAGGGTATATTTAATTGTCCTGTGGTTAGGCAAAGGAGAGAGAGAGGAACTCAGAAGTTACTTTGATTTTGGAGGCAGCTATATCTTGCCTTAGGAGCTCTGGTAGCATAGTGGCTAAAGTACTTGACTGCTAACCAGAAGGCTGGCGGTTCAAACCCACCAGCCACTCCTCGGAAGGAAGGTTGGGCAATCCTACTTCCGTAGTGATACTGCCTCGGAAACCCAAGGAGGGGTCGCTATGAGTCGGGGCCAACTCGACGGCACATAACAACAGCAACAACATATCTTGCCTTTGGTTTTTTTACATACTAGCCCAGAGGGTACCTACTCATCTAACTACAGTTTAACATCCCTAGTGCCCAGGAAATTGGAAAGTATGATATTTGATTTGAGAGGTTCTCCATAATGGACTTTATATCACAAAACTTTATTTACCTCATTTACATTTAATGTGATAATTATCCCACTTTTCTCTCTGCTGTATTTCCCATTGTCCTTTTTGTTAATATTGTTTTTCACTTCATTACAGATAGATTATTTTCCCCAGATATAAATTAAGGCAACTCTTTTTTTCCTCTTCTGATTTTAAATGTTTGGAACAAAGACACTAAAAGTTTAGACCTAGGAAAGACGTACCCTGATGGAAATTATTTTTATAATTGTCAGTATTTCTGAGATTTGTCAATTTCAAAGACTTCAAAAAGTATGTTTTAAAAAAATGCAGTTAAATCCCATTTAGAGCAGGGAGATTTTCTGTAAATCTCTAATACTCTAATAGGTTTTTTTATAGTTGAGTGTATTTCCTGAGTGTGTGCCTGACTTTTAAAAGAAGAAATAATTAATTGTATAATATTTGAATAAAGAATGAATGAATAGTAGTTTGTGTTCCAAATAAGTATACAGGAGTATATACCTATTTATTTGAAGAACTTGGTACTAAATTAAATGCTCTGAATTAGCTTCCCAAAATGTTTAGAATTTTCCAAGGATATATAAATGTTTGTAGTCAGTATTTTGATTTTGAGGAGAGTAATCTATGAAATGAAATTCAGACTAATTTTCTTCTCTTTTTTGGGGGGGAAGTGTATCACATTTGGTGGCACTTAAAACTATGCAAAATATTTTAAGTATCTGTAAGAAGGAATTGGCAATTAAAGTGAATTTTGCTTATTTATGTAGTACAGAATACAGCATATTGTGTTAATGTTTAGGCTGTTTAATAAGTTCATAAATGTGAAAAGCAGATCTTGGCTTAAGTATATGCCTGATTTAAGTTTTTAAACTCTGCAGTAGGAAAATGATAATGTTTCCATAACCCTATGTAGCAGCACAGGAAATTATGGATCTTTTTATTGTTGTCTTAAAGATTTAGGATGGATTTGAGCAGGGAAGAGCTGGAGCCTGGTATACCTTCTTCCTGTATATAGATGGAAACAGTGTTTAGATAAGAAAAAGGAACCTTCTGTTTACAGTTTATAGTTAACTTTATTTCATGGGCTTTTATAAACGTATTCATCCCTTTTTCTAATTGAAGGAATTTCAATTCCAGGGTACAAACTATTGATTCTAAAAATTGCATTTCCTTTGTTTTAATACCAATTCTAAATGACACTTAACATCATCCAGTTGCTACCACTGGGGAAGAAGGCAACTTGAAGTATTTACTGATAAATACCCTTTTTTGTTTTTGTCCCAAAGTGTGACCTTTCTGCAGTGTCTCCATATTATGTCACATGTTCTATTTGCACTGTTGCAACATGGATCAGAAATCTTGTGGCATAGGAGTAGGGGGGTCTTAATAGCTCCTTTGTCCCATTTGTTTTATTACTGCTTTACTGGACTGATCTATCCTTATAAACCTGTGATCATCACCTAAATGTAAGTTGTGAATGTGTCACCTCTTGCTTGGTTATTTCAGCCATGCTGCTATATATACTCAGTGTGGCACAGTTTTTCAGTTTGGTTCTGGGGGATGAGTGGATACAAATCATTGCACTGTGCTGTTAATGATCCTTGTCTGCTTGCTGTTACTTTTTCCAGGCATCATAATAAAAGGTAGACTATTTCTTTGGGGGGAAAGAGACTTATTTAATGTAATTTAAAGACCTTTTCAATAGAAAATGAAATGCTATTCAAAATAATATCTATTTTTTAGCTTTCAGCAATTGATGGTGCTTTGTTGTGGTGTCTGCTGGAAGCCTACTGCCATTATAGGGATTCTCATTAACCTAACTGAGAAAGAACCTTGCTTGTTAGCTTCTCTAGATCTCTATTCTACACAATCTGTTAGTGATGATAAATTCTGTAGGAGGGTCTATTCTGAGCCGTTAACTTCCTGTAAGGGGAACTGGGTGGGTTACCAGAAAGACCATTGAAGTAGGGTGGGCTGTGGGTGGAGGGTTGGGTATTTGTCTTGAGAATTAAAAACTACGAAACACTTTTGTACACAACTGATTTTTTAAAAAATAAACACATTTTTAAAGATGTTGAATTTTTTTTCCCCCATTACTGAGAATGCTTAAAAATAAATGCATGCATGTTTTCCCCTGAAAACGGTTTATCTTATTTCTGGTACTCATCTTCTGGACAGGCACTTCAATATCTATGTTACTTTAAACAAGAAAAACAACCAGGTATTTCTTGACAGATTTCGTAGTGATGAGCATATAACAATAAATGTAAATGTATCCAGGCTTTAAATTTAAAAACAAGCTTGAATTGTTTAGTTCTAATTACATGTTTATTTGACAATACAGCATTATTTGGTGGGTTCTAATCCAGAATTTAAAGAAATCCAGAGTTGTTTGGTATTGAAGGTAAAAATGTTGTTTCAAAATAGTCACATCCATCTCTCTGGAAAGGTTGCATGGTACTGTGGAAAGGACTGGATTGCTTCAAGAAGTCCTGAGTTTTAAACCCAGCTTACCCCAAGATCAAAAGAGGCAGAAGTTTTCTGAGCCTCAATTTCATCATCTAGGTAAATTACCTGCCCAGTACTATGCCACATATTTGTGAAGATCAAATAATACAATATTAGCAGTGAATATATCTAATATATTTGTGTGGATTTTAACACACAAATTTTGACTAAGTTACAGTATTATTTTGTGCACAATCTGAGACGACCAGCAGGATGGCTTATTTTAAAGTTGTGTCCTGGATTGTCAAGAAAACCATACTTTGTTAAGTCTGTTTTCAAAGTCTAATGACTATGAATTATCATCAATTGCCTTTCCCTTCATTAACCATGATAATTAAATGAGGCTCCATTGGTCAGGGTTTGTAGTTACTTCACATGGCAAAGCTGATTTCTGTGTGTGTGTATCTAGGGCATTTATAGGAGTTCTCATGGCATAATGCCTAACGCATCTGACTGCTACCCAGAAGGTTGATGGTTCAAACCCACCAGCCACTCCTCAGAAGGAAGATTGGGTGATCTACTTCTGTAGTGATACTGCCTCAGAAACCCAAGGACAGGTTGCTGTGAGTTGGATTCGACCCGACGGCAGTGAATGTGGGTTTTTTTAGGGCATTTATAACCATCATGCATCAGGCCTATGAATTTCTGCTGCCCCGAGACGGAATTGTTCCTGACCTAACATGCCGGTATGATGTGCTCTTTTATGTAGCAAGGCTAGTCTTTATTAAAAATCAAGGATACAAATGGAGTTCAAGTGAGCTTTAATTCCATACCTAACAACGGATAGTCAGATTTTCAAAGGCCAGTAAACACTGGTTACATATTTTTGTTATCAGAGAGTATAAACTTTTCAGTGACTTATCTAATAAAGCTTTCTAGAGCTATGTCCTACATTAATAATACTATCTCATACATTCATGTAATATTTTCCCATTTGGTCAGTAAGAATGTGCTAAAAACTCAATTTTAGCATT